AATGTTTCCTCTTGCCATGAATATAGCCACTGCTGCTGACATGGTTAAATCATAAATAAATAATAATAAGTTTTATGCATTCATTTGATGACCTCTGTTTTTAATCCAAAAGAAATTCAAACAGACAACAGAATTTCTGAGGGGAAAAAAAAACATTTTATAGGCCACTGTTATTATAAAGGTTTATGAAATAGTTTTATGAATTAGCCATCTTTTTTGAAAACCATTGAAATTGCTATTGTACAATGAAGTGTATTTTTCAAGTAATAATTATAATGGTTTAAGTATTATTTCTTTATTTTTTTAATTGAAATTCAGTTGATTTTATTAGCCATTTTTATTGTAAAATTTATTGAATTGTACTTAATTAAGCATTAAAACAGAATCCAGAAAAATTCAAGCAGCGTTTGTTCAAAAATAAAACTGATTTTATTGGGTCCTATAAAGTTGCCAGTCTTCTGCAAAAGACTAATAATCACATAAATGCATATGTTTGCTCTCAGGTAGTGAAGTCTCGGCGTGGGCCGCCACACAGACAACAGACAGGAAAGCTGTATTTAGTTGACCTGGCTGGTTCAGAAGACAACCGGCGCACAGGAAACCAGGGCATCCGTCTGAAGGAGAGTGGAGCCATCAACCTGTCCCTCTTCACCCTCAGTAAAGTGGTGGACGCTCTGAATGCGGGGGCTGGGGGCCGCGTGCCCTACAGAGACAGTAAACTCACCCGTCTGCTGCAGGACTCTCTGGGTGGTTCGGCCCATTCTGTCATGATCACAAACATCGCACCGGAGTACAGATACTACTTTGACACCTTCTCAGCCCTTAACTTCGCCGCTAAGTCTAAGCAGATTGTCAATCGGCCCTTTGTCAGGGAAACTGTTTTGGCTCCTACGATTGGTGAGCAGCGCAGTATTATTATATATTTCACTGGATGATAATAATTGGGTATGTGGTGATCATTTTATCCCTTCATTCCTAGCTCCTGGAAAGAGAGTCAGAGAGGAACAGGAGGCTGGAGGTTCTGGTGAGCCTCAGAACAAAAAGTCTAAAGAGGGAAAGAAAGCTGAACAGTCTCCATCACCTCCCGTACATCCACACAGGTACGACAGCTTGTTACAACAGGTAAACTAGTTTATTGTGTGAGCACTTTAACAGGTCTTGGCTTTGTGCTGTAGGCCATGATTTGGTAGCTGGTGCTCAAAAGAAAACTCCCTATAGTAAAGACCACAGGCTAAATGTGCCTCACTGGACATGCATAGGGAGGACACATGGACTGTAGTGCTGGGCGGTCAAGCTAAAACTCTGAATAGCTGTGAATAGCTTTCAAATGAATTTCGTTTTGCACTGCGGTACATGAGTTAACCCACGGAAAGTAAAACTAATAAATCAACCTTAATATTAAGTAGTTTTAAAATAAAACTGCTTTTTTTTTCTTTTTTTTTTTATCAGTACGATTGTTTTTAATACTTTTATTTCGCAATGATGCATTAGAATGATCAAAATTCAATGTAAAAAAAAAACATTTTATAATGTTAGAAATGGCTCCTATTTCAAATAAACACTAATGTTTTGAACTTTCTATTCCATAATATAATACATATAATATAAAACAAATTTTAATGTATCATGGTTTCCACAAATATTAAACGGCACTTTTTTTTTTTTT